CCGCATGATTTTCTGAGTAAGTTTTACATGTTCTGTGATTGAATTGGTATCATTAGGAAAAGGAAGTTATTCAAATCAATTTGATTTCTTAGACTCTTTCTGGAGGTTCAGTTTTGGGCACTCTCTTTAAATACAAGATTGAACCCACAATTTATTTGTTTCTCCTAAAAAATGTTTTTAGATGATTTGTTTCGATTACTGAATTAGAAAAGTGTATTCTTAGAGATTTTAGAGCCTCATTTGTATGTAGTTTTGTAATCTTTGTGTTATGGTGTGTCTTACAGCTTAAGCCTACCACTAAGGTAGGAAAGAATGATGTACATTGGGAGCTTGGGGAAATGACACTTGCTTTATAGGAAAGGGCTGAATGGTAGGAAAAGTACACATAGTATGTTGTGGATTTAGCTAAAACCTGTATTTACTCTCTATATATGGCATTGGGATTGTAGCATGTCACCTTTATCATCACCAGATAAGTTGCACTATATGAAAATGGTTGATAAGTTTGCAGTAAGTCGCAGGTGATTAGTCTTGAAAGATATGTACACCCTCTAAAATTTTACTACTTTGAATGAAGACTCTGAATGATATAGCTCTTCTTTTTGGTAGACCTCATGGGAGACCGTAGGAGGAAAGAAGAAGAATTTTGGAAAAGAAAGTTCAGAAAATAAAGAAAATAGAGAGAAGAGAACTGAGAGAGAAGCGAGTCGTGGCCGTGGAAACACCAATAACCGGAAAGGAAGAGGTGGCAATCGTGGCAGAGAGTGTAAGTACAGACTTTTTGTCTCACCTTTATTATGAAAAATTTCAACATACTGAAGGCCAAAGACTCGACCAGTATCTGAATGCCCATAGATCCACATCCTCAATGCTATGTTGTTTAACATAGTTAACTCTTAGTAATGAGCTACAGTTGGCTACTTTATAAGGGTTGAACTCTGCTGCAATTTCCTATCAACACTGGCCTGGGCTATAGGTAGGTAGTTGTGTCTCTTTTGACTGCCTTATGGTGCAAAATAAGTGCACTTTCTACTTTTAAAGGCAGAGGGGGTTTTATTCCTTGATTGACAGAACTATATTTTCCTCCTTATTTATTGATGCTCATGGTACAGGTGAGGGATAGATTAATAGGAAAGTTACTGAATGGGAAGACCTAGGGTTTGACACAATTTATCCAAAACAACCCTGCCTTCTATGCAGACTAACCAAAATAGTTAAATTATGAATGAATAAAATGTAAATACTTTCCATATCACCCTAGAGACTTTTGCTAGCTCATTTATTCCTCAGATATTTAGTGAGGTGCCTACTTACTGTCTACTCTTAGGGGTGCTGAGAATACAGCAGTGAATAAAACATAAAAATATATGCCCTCATGAAACTTCTCTTGTAATGGAAACGGAGAGAGATACCATTTTAAAAAGTAAGTATATGGACAACAAGGTCATGAGCGTAGGAACTGTACCACCATTTCTTCTGTGGTCGCTCTCTGGGTGTTTCTTGGAGCCTCCAGCAGCGCCATGTTGGGGCAGAGCATCTGGAGGTTGACCACCGCAGTGGTCCAAAGGAGCCAACGTGAGGACGGCCCTGGAAAGAATTTGCCATTTTCTGTGGAAAAGAAGTGGAGGTTGCTGGTTGTGATGACCGTGTTCTTTGGGTTGGGGTTTGCTGCACCTTTCTTTATAGTAAGACACCAACTGCTTAAGAAATCAGGAAGTTTAAGTTCATCTGTGAAACAGATGAGAAGGCCGACCTCTGAAAACTGGATCTAGCTCTGTTGAACTCAATAGCATACTGGTTATGTTTGTAAATAAACTTACTACATGGAAAAAATAAAGTAAGCATATATTAATGGTGTTAAGTGCTGTGGCGTAAAACCAAAGGAGAAAGAGATAGGAATTATGGGAAGCGGCGTGGCAAGTATAAATGGTGTGGCCTCACTGAAAACTCATTTGTTTTGAACCCTGACCAGGAGGTGAGTGTAGCAAGTTGTACAGATCTCTTATAATATTGTTATATAGATGATTATTGCTAATGTGAGGATGAAAAGGAAAGAATAGGGATTGATATCTTCTGAATTGCATCCTAGATAAGCTGTCTCTAACACTTAATTTTTTTCTAAGGATTCATTATTTCCTTGGTATTATTACCTGTTATCTGTGCCTTTCCATGGTTTGAAATGAACAAAATTGGAATAAACTCTGTGCTGTAGTTTTGATTTAGGGAAAACTCAAATAGAAGAAAAACTATCACTATTTTAATTCCTTTTCAGAATTTTCAGAATAATTCCATTTCAGAATTAAGAAATGCTGTAATTGTAGATTTTTAATCTACCGTTGTTTTAGTTTTCCTATTTCCTGAGCCTTTTGGTTCTATGTTAGCCTTTTTGAAAGTGTGTTTCTGCTCCTGCCTCTCATAGATGTCAGGTATGGTCTCCTACAAGAGAGTTAGAAAAGGAAAGTAGCTGTTTTTGCTCTTTTCCCTTAGTTAGGACTGAAGAGAATGGAATCGATTGCAATCAAGGGGACAAGTCTTCAGATCGTGGCAAGCGAGCCCGTGGTGGTAGAGGTAAGCCTTGGGTAAGAGGGAAGTAGGTGCTTCTGATCTGAGGGCCAAAGGCAGGCTTGACTGGATTCCGAAGCACTATCCTTGTAAAAATGACCGATTTTGTGGAATCAGTTGATTTGTTTACTCGTGTTTGTGAATGAACTGTGATGGGATCAAGTCGTTTTGAGGAAACCTATTGGTGGTTTTCAGATGAGCTGAGAAAGTCTTATATATCAATTATTTAAAACTCAGGGACCAAAAGTGATTATCAGATTCACTTATATTGGGCTTTGACAGATGTGTTTTATCCCTGTGTGGTACTGTTTTTAAAATGGAAATTATTGATGTCCTTCTTCCCTTCCAAATGATCCCTGGTAGAAATTATTTCTTACACTTATCACTTAAGGACGTCATAAAGGCACTTCAAGAATGTACTTTCATAGATTTGAGAGTTATGAATAAATTTATTCAGGGTTATAAAATCGATATGTAATAAAATATGCACACTTTGATCTAACTGCTGGGCACCAGAATTGACTGCAGTTTTGCTTGAAGCATTGCTCAAATGCAGTAGGGGTTGTTCTCCAGATGAGCATTTCATAGTGGCACAGTTCTAAGAATTTTATTTCTAAGAAATACTAATAAGATTTGTTCATTCATCCAACTGTTCTTTACTAAACTTCTGTAATACTTGTGCCATCGAGTCAGTTCCGACTCATAGAAACCCAGTGTACAACAGACGAAAGCACTCCTGGTTTTGTGCCCTCCTCACGATTGTTGCCATGTGTGAGTCTGTTGTTGTAGACACTGTGTCAGTCCATCCCCTTGAGAGTCTTTCTCTTTTTCACTGACTCCCTACTTTGTCAGCCATGTTATTCTTCCCTAGGGACCAGCTCCTCCTGATAAAGTGCCCAACGTACAGGAGACAAAGTTTCGCTGTCCTTGCTTCTAAGGAGCATTCTGGCAGTGAAAGATGATGATATACATTGTATCAGAAGTCACTTTTATCTCTCCCTCCCTTTGAATGTTAATTTAATCAGTGGGTTGTCCATTTTTAATAAGTTTATTGATTAGGGGTTTTAACACCTTTATCCTGATTTATATGTTGTAGAATATAAATAATTTCTCATAGAGTGAAGAATGCTATAACTTATACAATTGGCTTTCTTTATGGCAGTCTTCAAATTTTTTTTGCCTCTCTGATATTGAATGCTTTAGCAACGGGTATTAGCACTTTTTAAGTGAAATACATTTCTGTGACATTTACTTTTTTGTCTTTGGAATTACTTGTTTATGGAATGTTTGGGGATTGGATAAAAATGGAATAAAGAATAACATTTACTGTGAGTGATTTACTATAGCACACATTTTGCTAGAATTCTCTGAAGGTTGTTAGTGTTGTTTTTATTCTCATTTACAGATGAGAATACTGAGGTTTAAGAAAGGCAGATTACTTGCCTAGGGCCATGGTGAGCTTCTCTTTTGATTTCACATCTGTCTGTCTTATTCTGAAACCTGAGTTCTTAAGGGAGATGAGAATTAGTGGGAGGATGGTGATCTATGTTGCTGCCACCTTCCCTTAAAGATCGCAAACTTTTTCAACTTTGAGATCAACGCAAATAACTTTTCATTATAAAAAGATGGGAGTGCTGATGGGTAGATAGCCCTGAGAGCAAAAGAACTTGAAGTTCTGGTAGTGTAGCGGTAACGTGGTGGGTTGCGATCTGCAAGGTGAACACTCACAATTTAGGAAACTCGGGGGGGAATTCTGCCCTGTCCTATAGGGTCACTCTGAGTTGTCAATGACTCGATTGCAGTGTTAGGTTTGTTTTTGTTGGATTGAAAAGGGGTTGATTTGTTAAGAACCAAACCAAGTAACGACACATGAAGAGACAATATTGGCTAGCTTCAAAATTCATAATTTAAGTAAGTTTACTTTTAAGAAAGCATTTAAAGTAGCAGGACTTGGGCTTTATGTCCCATGTAAGTTAAATATATATATGTAAAACTTAGGTAGGGGTTTACATTTCAGATTGTTCATTTTGTATTCCAGTCTAAGCTACTCATCAGTTTACTCCTTCTTATAACCTTAAAAAAATAGCAACACATACACACGTTATATATCATACACCTAAATGTAACTGTATTTAAACAGACTGCTGAAGGGCAGGAGGTCTGCTGGCTGCTGTTGGATGAGCATTGGACTACTAACTCCAAGACTGGTGGTTCAAAAACAGCAGCTGCTTCTTCGGAGAAAGATGAGCTATCTACTACTATCCAGATTTTATAGTCTTAGAAATTCTTACATAGAGTTGCTGTGAGTTGGAATTGACTTGATGGGAGTGGATTTATTTTGGGTTTTCATTGAAGGGTAGCAACTTATGTTTTAGCAAAAAATAGACAATCTTTTCAAGTGTGTCTTGTCTGGAGAATTACACAGGGCCTGAGAAAAAAACAATACCAATATTTACAAAACCACAGTTATTTTGCTTAGTGGATATTCATAAAATACATTTAATACAAAGTAGGCAGCTGTATAGGATTTTTCTTTCACTTTCATAGATTTAGGACAAATGTCCTTGTTTTATGTATTTTCCAAGACATTTGGTTATAAGTCATTTAATGTCTTTTTTTTCCTCCTCCTTTTTAATTTTTCATTGTGAATTAGGTGAAGGTTTACAGAGCAGATCATAGTTAACACAGAGGTGAGTTCAGTTCCAGACCATAGTCTTGGGGGCCTCACCAGTATCTGACCAGTAAGCCTTGTTGCTTTTGTCATTTAATATCTTAATTGCTGGTGAATTAGTCTTAAAACAGTTGAATGTTTCTCCTGGTTCCAAGTTAATTGTTCATCTGTTGGGTAGTATCCTTACCTTTTTATCTAAAATTTTTTTTTAAATGATGGTGTAGGTGAAGGTTTACAGAGCAAAACATATTACTCTTTCTTTTTTTTAAATCATTTTTTGGGGGGGCTCATACAACTCGTATCACAGTCCATACATACATCCATTGTGTCAATCACATTTGTACATTTGTTGCCATCATCATTCTCAAAACATTTACTTTCTACTTGAGCCCTGGATATCAGCTTCTCATTTTTTCCCCTCCCTCCCCACTCCCCCTACCTCATGAACCCTTGATAATTTATAAATTATTATTATTTTGTTATATCTTACACTATCCAATGTCTCCTTTCACCCACTTTTCTGTTGTCCATCCCCCAGGGAGGAGGTTATATGTAGATTCTTGTAATCAGTTTCCGCTTTCCACTGCGCCCGCCCTCTACCCTGCATATTACTTTTTCTTTCTTTCTTTTTTTAATCATTTTATTAGGGGCTCATACAACTTATCACAATCCATACACACATCAATTGTGTAGAGTGCATTTGTACATTCATTGCCCTCATCATTCTCAAAACATTTTCTCTCCA